AAGATATTCAAATTCCTTCTCTACCATACCATTCAGATCATGCCCATTGAAGTGATAAAAGTTGAAGAAATGTTTGGAGATCGTTGAAGGTATAATAAAGAAATGTTCAAAAATGGTTGTTGAATGTATGATAATGGTAAGCGTGAGAAGTTTTATCGTTGAAGGTTGTCATCCGTAAAAGGTATTTCTTTGTGTACGTAACTTCAAATCTATTTCAATCTACAACAATTTTTATTTTTTATTATTTTTTTGAATTTGGAGTTTTTTTAAAGTTTTTTTTGTATGTGTTAGAATCTTATCGATTGATGGAGGGAAAGGAATTAGAGGTTAAGTGAGCAAGACCAAAGTATTAAAATCTTATTCCTTAGAAATAAGAGTTACCTAATAAATGGAGAAAGTTGAGTGGATGTAAGTACTCCGAAAATAAAGTATTAAAATCGTATCTGTTGGAAATATAATTTTGATAGCTAGAAATGGATTTTGATAATGTAATAATTCCGTTTCTTAAATTTATTATTATTATTATTATTATTATTATTATTTTTTGGATTTTTGTTAAACCAGAAATACAGAGAGTATAGATATTTCTGAAAATGAGAGAAAGAAGCGAACAGGGAGGAGAGAGATTTCTTAAAATGAGAGGAGAAAATCTAGGTTACTTAAATATTAAGAAGAATAGTATTGTCCAAATAAAATTAATTGAAATAGTCATTTGATATGGTAATAGAGTCATTTAAGTTATTTTAAGCACTTAAAAGGTGGATTAGTTATCTAAAATTATTTCACTATCAAACTTAACGTGATGTCAAGAGTGATGGGAATAATTATGTCAAACCTCGATTGAGGTTATATCGAGTAATTTTATTTGGAGAACAATAGACAAATAGTTTATTGGTATTAGGTTCTTACAAGAGGTTAGATTAATTTATTCTTTATTTGTTTATTCACCATATTTGTGCCAGATGCATAGGGTTATTTTTATTTTTTAGTATTCACCATATTTGTGTTAGATGCATCATGCGTATAATTAATATATAAGGTTAATTACAACGACACTCTTTGAGATTTGTCACATTAACAGTCATATACAATTTAATCATTTTTTCAGCAAAGACATCCCTTTAGATTTGATAAAGCTAACAAAAATACCCCAATGGTCCTTACACATAATAAATTGACATTATTATCCATTGACACGTTCAATTACCAATTTATTATCTTTTTTATTGACCAAAATACCCTACTAATAAACCAAACCAACACCACCACACCCACCACCACCATTTACCCGTAATCCATCTTTTTTCCCCGGATTCACTTCCCCCAAATGCCTGTAACCTATATATGTGTATGAATATATAGATTGTGATTAATCGAACCCCCACCGCCATCATCGTTCTTCTCGCTTGAGCGGCGAAGCCTCAGCGTCGAACCACAACCGCCATCATTGTTCTTCTCTAGCCGTCACCCTTGTCTGGTATGATGGTCGCCTTCGTCGAAACTTCCACTGGTCGTCGTCGCCGTCGTCGAGAATCGCAGTTGGATCACAAACTTTGGTTTGGTGGTGGGTTAGCGGTGCGATGGTGGTGGCGTATAAGGAGGGAGATGATGGCGGCGATTGTGGTTATTGAGGAGAATTATACCGTAAGCTGATTCTTTAGTTTGCATAATTCTTTCCATGGAAGTCTTTATGGTCAAGTTCAATTTGCTTCTGTTTCATGAATCATGGGACTGAAAAATCATTAAGTAGTAAAGTCCCTGGATGATATAAGCCTTTTTAGCTACTGATACCTGCATAGATATATGTGTGTGTGTGTGTGTGCGTGCGCGCGCGCTTTATATGCCTGAATTTTTCTTAGCTTTTTGTTTATGAACCTGAGCTCTTTGATTGTGTTTCATAATCTGTTTTGCTGGATTCTAATTTCCTGAGATTTGGGGGAGAGGCGGCAGCGGTTGTTGTTGGGCAAAGGCGGCGACGGCGGATCAAGATGTCAGCGGTGGATGTGGATGGGGCGGTGGCTGAGGTGGAAGAAGGAGGCGGGGAGATTGGTTATATATAAATATATATATGTGTGTGTGTGTGATGGTGCTGATGTATATGTATAAGGACAAATTTAACTTTTCATGAGTTATGTTATTTTACCGAGGGTAATATCATCTTTTCAAATATTTTAAGGGTTTAGTTGGTTCAAAATTCCAATCGTGTCTTTGTCCCAAAAAAAATATATATATATATATATATAAAAAATAAAATAAAATAACTAAGTTATGTATCACTACCAATTTGAAAAATCGTAAAAGATGTCGTTGTACTTATATATAAATATATATATATATTTTTTATTACTCTCATCTCTAGATTGTACTAGAAAGGATTCAAGTTTAGGCACAGAGGGAGATCGTGTCAAAGTTAACATATTTGAAACTGAATTATCAATAACACTATTTTTAATATTTAATGTACGTGTAGTACATTAAAATTATTATATTCAACTTTGACTTGTGTTATTACTGTGTGTACAATGCACTACAGTATTACTTGAAAAAACATTATCCAGAGGAGTGATGTAATGTCTGCAGCTAATATGCCGGTGCATGTTAATCCGTTTTTGCAACCTTATCTGAAGCAATAATGCAATGTATGAGGATGTGAAAAAAAAAGTATTGAAGTTAATATGGGGTGAATTAATTATGCACCAATTGATTTATTATTGAGGATAATATGGGGTGATTTATTAAATATATGAATTGAATTCAAAGTTTCAATATTTTATGCACCAATTGATTTATTAAATATATTATTATGCATTAACAATTTTATTTTATTTTATTTATTATTATTATTTTTTTCACATCCTCATACATTGCATCAGATAAAGTTGCAGTAGCAAATTAACATGCACTGGCATATTGGATTAAATAAAGTAACAAGAATTAATTATAAAATCTATTCATTTTTTTATAAATAGAAATTTTAGAAGGCGGATTTAAGAAGAAAAAAAAATTGCAAAAGTACATATATTTAATAAATCAATTGGTGCATAAAATAGGAAAAATAATAGGTAAAATTGTTATAAAATATTCACAAATATATATATATATATATATCGACTTTACATACATGCATATATTAAATCAAGTTACAATACCATTATTTTGAGTAATAATATTACATTTGATTTAAAGTGTTGTTGTGTATGTATACTACACACTAAAGTACTGTTAAAAAAAGTACCATAGAAGATTATGTTGTAATGCAGTGCATCTTAATTGAATTTTGTAATCTAGAATTCTCAAAAATGAAGCACCTTGTTATCAAGGAATCAAATTTTAATTAATATACATTGCATCTTAGTCGCATTTTATTGTCCAAAAAATAACTCAATCAAATTTATTTTTCAATTTAATTGACTCAAAATAATAATATTGTACTTTAATTTAAAGTGTTCCATAGACTCAAAATGATAGTATTGTACCTTAATTTAAAGTGTTAATGCATAATAATAATATTATTGTCCAGTTTTCTCAAAATAATTTTTTATTTATTTTGTGATTCATTATCTATAGGAGTTTTTTTTTTTTTTTGAGAGGCAAATATTTTTTTTTTTACTATTTTAATTGGATGGCCCCTTGTTCCCTTAATAGTTAATAGTTTCGCCCCCGGCCAAGAACCTGCTTGGATCAGATGCAAATGTCAGAACCCTGTTTGGATCAAATGCAATGTCAGTGTGTACGGCTCGACAAGACGAGTCTCACGATTAGAGGGTTCTTGGTCTCGCTCTCTCACTTCTTCTTCTCTCATTATTATTATTATTTTTTTTTTCACACTTGGTCTCTGGTTCAGGATTGAATAATGAAGACCAGGAAGAAGAGGGTCCATGCATGATGACAATGCAATGCTAAGTCTAGTAAAATCATGAGTAGTTGCTGAGTTTGATTCAATGTTCTTGGCACTCACAAATTTTAGGGTATGTTTGGATCTCAAAATTTGATTTTTTGGAAAGTTTAAATTTCAATTCTTTATATTTTTTATAATTATTTTATCCTTCCCAAAATAAATATATTTTTTTTAAAATCTACCTAGTTAAGGAAATGATAGTTATTACTTTTTTATTGTATTAATAGTCAATGCATTAACAAATTTATCCGTAATGGGTCAACAATAATGTGATGAGAAGCAATATTAATGTAAAATGCATATTCCTTCTTTTTGGAGTTGATGAGGAGCAATATTAATGTAAAATGCATATTTCATAACAATTGCTTGATCCATTTCTATTTGTACGTGTTGTTTATAAGTAAAAAAAAGAAAAGAAAAAAAAAAGAGTAAAAAAAAAATTGGTCAACGTATTACTATTACTATTACTATTACACACGTCTTTTTAATTTTAAGAAATCAAACAAAAGAGAGAGGAAAAATAAACAGTGGTATATATATGTTATCAATCACTTAATTAGTGTACATTTGATATAAAAAAAATTACTTACGTGCTGATTTATCATATATAGTATTGAAACTTTTAATTATTTCATTTTTTATTTTTTTAATATGTTTCTTTCCTTGTTGACTCTTCTTCTCTCTCTCTCTATTCTTAATTCTTTATTTATTTTTAACTAAAAATCAAATATCTAAATTTTTTTTTTCTTTTTCTTTTTTTTTTTCATATTGTTTTGGTGTTCTATCTTGCTCTCACTTTTTAAATTTATATTTTGTAAAAAAAAAATACACCTTTTCACATTTTGGATTATCCAGCTGAATATCTGATAACGAAATCGAATACCACTTCCATAACAGAAAATTCATCAAATTGGACCACGGAATTTCTTTGAAGATTCTGATGGTACCAAGCCGGCCCAAATTTGGCCCATTAACGACTCGGCTGCAGCTTTAATTAGAGACGGGACCCACCGATGTGGTGGAGCCTGTGTGGCAGAAATTCATTGGTCCTCCCTACGTGGTCTTCGCTTCATCATCTTTGACCTCTATGTATTAATTGTATTTAAAAAAATAATAATAATAAAAATAATAAATAATAACAATCTATCAATCGCGTTTACAAAGTCGGACGATCTACCCCAGAGACAGAACTTCGATCCTTTCCAATCGCGAGACAAAAGGCGAGTTCATTGATTTTCAAGCTCTATCTATTTCTCTCTACTGAATATTCATTATTCATTCACATCTCTATATGTGTTTGCATATATATATATATATATGTGTGTATGATCTTTAATCTATTATGTCTCTCTACTGAATATTCATAATTCATTCGTATCTCTATATTTGTTTGCGTATATATATATATATATATATGATCTTTAATCTATTATGTAAAATGTGCGATCTTTCAATTTCAAGGTTTGAGAATTGAGACCTTGCTATTGTTTTACTAGGTTTTGATCTGATTAAAAAAAATGAGATCTTATCTCAGATCTGTAGGTTTAATGTTTGCGATTTGTTGAGATGCTATGTTTTATGGTTCATTTGTATTGATCAATTTGAAATTATTATTTTTTTTTGGTAGTTGTGGAATTTGATTTATTGGTCGTTATGCTTTTATTGCCTTTTAATTGCATGGGGTTAATTAGATGTAGCTGATGTACATTTAACGGGTTAAAAATCTTACGAATGAGTTGAATTTGGAGAGAACTTGATTAAAAGGTTGGTGATTATGTTATTATTATAATATTTAATTTGGTCTGAAGACACATTTGATAGAAATTTGTTTTGTTCTTTCAGGTTCTATTTGTTTTTCTTTTTTATTGTATAAATTTAGCTTTCATTTCCATTTTCTCCTCAATGTATCTAAATATGAAGCATGCATACTTAAATGGGATACGAACTTGACAACATAGCAATTTTAATGTAGGAAATAATGAATAAATATTGTTTACAGTTTATTTATTTATTTTTATTATTATTTTTTTTTTTTCCGTTTTTGGTATAATATACAATATTATACTTAATGATACTAATATCCTGTGACATTAATACATTGTAACTTATATATCACAATGATCCGCAATCTGCCTTGTTGCTTTAATAGATAGATAGAAAGGACACAACAATGTATGTATACAATCTCAAAATTTTGATGACTCCTCTCCTTTTCACACGCTATCTTAATGGATAAAACATTTCTATTTCTTATTTCTGGCATTTTCTATATTCTGTTTTTTCAAGTTGATCATCCCATTCATGTAACGGAAATGGGGATATTGCGGGGATAATAGAAGTGACTAAAAGAGATGAGATAGATAATGAATGTGTTGGGGAAACATTAGGTATACAACATAGAGAAAGTATGTATGACAGTATACAACATAGAGGTGATGCGGTATATAATAGGAAAGAATGGAAAAAGAGAATTCTTGTGGCCGACCCATCTATATGGGATAAAAACAAGGGTGGTGGTGATGATTTTTCAACATGATTAAACATTTTATAAATTTGAAAAAACTTTCATTTTATTTTTCCTTTTTAATCTGATTGGGATGCTCTATATCTGAGATGTATCTTGCTTGGGAGTAGTATCATGAAACTCAAAATTATGACTATTCAATACTCCCAAAAAAAAAGAATGTTGTTTTGGTATTCATACATGTTTGACACCTAGGTGGTGCCTTCTTAGAAGTGTTTGTGCTTCTTCTTTTAAGGTAGTAGTGTATATTATAGAAATGCTGATTATGAAGAATTCAGGCATGTCAATGGATTAGTGTACTGATGCAACTATCCCTTAAGATATGTTATGTATTTGATTGTCAATCTTGCTTGCCCTTGGAAACTATATTTATATGATGTGAACATTCACAAAGCCGGATCAAAATTCAAGGTCACTAAGTGCATAACATTTGGATAAATTAGTCCGTCATGGGTAATAATGGGATTTGGAGTATCAGCAGAACGTTTATGATTGACTTTTGGGAACTTTTCGAAACTTGCTGATTCAATTTTTTGATGTTATTTGTGTTAGTGGCTACTATTTCTTTATTTTTATAATACAATGATGGATTTGTGGACATATTTCACTTCAAGTCTCGGGATTAGAGATGAGCAATGTAGGAATTATGATATTGATTTTTATCTTATTTTATCAATCTACTCATAACTTTTTTCAAGGATTAGAGGAAGCAATTTGTGGTCCATTAATGATCTTTGCATTTCATTGCAATTTGTATTTTTCTTCTCTAAATGTGTCAAAGAGAGAATATGGATATAATAAATGTGAATCATTGACTTACAGGCAACTAGTATTAAAATTTTCTCTATGATTCAGAATAATTTCTCAAAACATTCTAGTGTTTCCCATTTCTCCAACACAAAAAAAACCAATCCATACTGGAAATTGCAACTTCTTCTAAGAAGATCAGCATTTAGTATAAACTATGAAGGGAGAATTATAAATTTAAAACACTATTTATACTTTCACTCTAGTCAGTACATTCAAATCTACTGAAAATGGGTAATTTAGAAAAATTATGACAGCTTTAGCCTCGGGGCAGGGGGAGTACAACAGCTATTAGCTGGAGTACTGCGAAGCAGGAAATCTAGTGTTCAATTCCTGGTTGAAATTTGGTTCTGCGTTATATTTATTGACATTAAAGAAAAGAAAAAAGAAGAACCTTATTAGTGCTTTCCTTGAGCCCATTAACATTCAGAGATAACTAAAGAATACACAACTGAGTAATGGGTTCCAATACATTGATTTCAATATCTGAGGATCTTTTAGAAAAAGAACTTTTGGCATTAAGTAAATGAAATCAAGGATGATTACAATGGCATGGGAATGCATTAATCAGGAAACCTGTCACTTCTGTAGCACTAAAATATTGTTAGGCTTGTGAATGTTTCTTGGATGTCACTTATGGCCTGATGGGGATGAAAAATAGACCTAAAGTAATAGGAATGTGCAGTTGAACACTCCTATATTACATGGACTTGGGTACAGGTTTGTATCCACGTGTCACATGTGTCAAGTCCCCAAACAGGAAACAAGGATTTTGCTAAATATCATAATATTTAATATTTTCTATTTTATTTTCTAGTGTAAAATAATATTTTCATTTAATGTAGTGTGTAATATAGGCATTTAACTCATTTTGAAGCAATAGTAAAATTGAATTATTGGATATTCTTTTAAGCTGCATGTCTAACAAAAAATAGTAAGATCTTGGAAGTGCAAGAAAGAAAGTTTCCAGTTACATATACCCGAATACAAGTTTCATACTCCAGAAGTGCCAGAGGATATTGAACTTTTCGAAGACATTGTTGTAACATCTTTAGGGAAGCCCTTCTGAAGGTCCTTAATGAAGCCCATGTACCACTTCAGGTTTGCCTCTGGAGGTATCTCCTTTCGCGATAGGGGCTTGAAAGATATCATCGTAGGCTCTTCCTTAGCGTTATTTAGGGTGGGCATAACCACGGGAAGATTCATTGTCTTGTCCTACTGATCTTGAAATTTTATAATAGGTTGGAATCTTTAATCACATGACAACTATGTATTCTACATCGCAGATGGTTGTGGATAATATGGTATCACTTACAGCTATAAAGGCTTTGAGGAGGATTATGCATCCATGGTTGAAAATTGATCAAAAGTTTTGTTTCTGTTTATATTTGCAATTCCAACAACCTACTTGTTTCAGTTTAGTGTCTTCTGGCATAATACCAAAATGTCCCTCCCTATATATGAATTTGTGTATAGAGATTGTTTCATAATGCTCTTTCATAGTCCAAAAAGTAAAACAAAAAATGGTTGTTACATAGTGATATTGACCAGTTTTCCTACATAGATTCATAGTGATGTTACATACATAGATTCACGGTGATGTTGACCAGTTTTCCTACATAGATTCATAGTGATGTTACATACATAGATTCATAGTGATGTTGATCAGTTTTCATGTTGCTGAAATTTTTGTATTTTCAATACTTTATGGTGTATATTTTAAGAAACTATCAGATTCTCCTGGTATTTTCATTCTTGAATGATCAGATTCTTGTCTATTTAATATTCTCTCTCTCTCTCTCTCTCTCTCTCTCTCTCTCTCTCTCTCTTTGTAACTTGCATGTTTGAGAGAGAGGGGCTCCATAATCTCAATTCTGAACTACTATTGAGTGCTTGGTTCTGAAGTTTAAAATGGTTGTTACAGAAATGGCTTTAAACGGAGCAGCTCCCCCTAGAGGAAGTGCAGCAGCTGCAGCTGCCAACCTGCGGAGGAGGAGGACCACAAGTGGTGGGGCAGCGGGAGGAGCTAGTGGTACCATGCTCCAGTTCTACACAGATGATGCCCCAGGACTCAAGATTTCTCCAAATGTTGTTCTTGTCATGAGTATTGGTTTCATAGCTTTTGTTGCCATTCTTCATGTCATGGGTAAGCTTTACTTTGTTCGTAGAGAGGCTTAAGAAAATACTAATATTCGGAAGCTGAGATGTGGTGAATTTCAGATTTTGGTTGGTTAAAGGTCAACTTTGTTGTTAGATTACTTCTTCTAGTTTGTTTTGATGTGGTCTTTAAATGTTTGAAATAGAAGCAGGTGTTTTTTGGTTCTAACGAAAGCAATGGAGAACATTTAAGAGGCATGTTGGTAACTTTATGATATTTAGTCTGCGTTTAACAGTTGCTAAGAATTTAGATTCCTATTTATTTCTGTTAAAACATAAAAATCAAGTAGAAATTGTTGTTTGAGGAGGCTGTTATGGTGATTGTATTTTGTTATTCTTTCCTATTATTTGCCAGTAGTTTCCACTGTTACTCATTATGGAACTTACAAAGAAGAGTTTAAGATCCTTGTGGCCAGCTACGTGTTTTTTTCCTTGTTTCACCGTGTTTTGTAAACTAGCTTGTAAAATAAGAGGAGATACGGGGACTTGGTGTGGTGTGATCAATTATCTTATTATTGTATATTTGCATCATGAGTAATTGAAGATTAATTGTTGGGAACTTGGGGATTGACCAGACCTGAGTTTGTCATCTGTTTTCCAGTTTATCCCGTATAATTTGTTGGGGCTGCGGATACATTGCGCACAGTTTATCCCTTATAGAGATTGTACAAACTTGTACTCGTTCATTTGGTACTTCGATTTGCACTTCGAACTCACAATTGTCTTTTACCAGGAAGCTTGCTACGCTTTTGATCTGTCTCTAATGCTTGAGTAGTTGAGGTTTTAACTAGCTCCTATACGGGTAGACCCTTATAGTAAGTTGATTGCTCGGTTTCAGCCTTAATGTGACTTGGGCTCAGGGTTGAGTTAAATAGGTTTCAGTAGATGTTCCTTGGAGGCTGGAGCTAGGTTCAGGTCTTCACAGCTCATAGGAGCTTGAGTACCATATTCCCACACTAAATTACTTATTGGATCCTGTATCAACTAACCTGGTAACCGTGATGTGTTGTTTTTTTCAAAATAGGAACAACATTACTGCACTTTGTTTTGCTGGCAATTTGAGGCACTTCGTTGTGATGTTTTAAGGATTTATATTAATGAAATCCTCCAAACTTGCAAGGAGTCTTTATTTGTACGTTTATACTAGATAATGTCGTACGTTTATGAAACACCATTTGCTTTTATCTCAGTTCTTCTGCCCTTTATCACATCAACTCGGGAAAAAAAATTGGCACATTCTCTATTACTGCATGATTACGGGGTTAGACATAGCTATACATTATCTATTACTGCATGATTGTGTGAAGCTCGGGATTTTAATCTGCGTGATCGACTGTATACTATTGTGGGGGTGATCTATTAATTTCAAGGGCACTGAATTTGGTCTCTTGTTTGATACTGTGTTTGTCATTATGTAGTCTTCAAGCCTTCTTACCTACATGGCTACGATGCCGTAGTTTAGGATTCAATAGAGAAGAATCCTCTCCTTGACATCAAGATGTGTCTGGTTTTGTGCGTGCTCGAAAGGTCCCCATTAAATGCTAGGGCATTCACTCACTAATAATTCACTCTGCCCCCGACCTTGCTCGAACTAGGAACAAAATACTCTCCAATTCGTGAAGCAAGTTTACAATAATGTTGTAAAGCGGGTTGAACATCACAATATTTAACTACGAAATCGGACCACTGTTCCACTGGAGAGGATTTGGGTCGGTCCAACCCCTATCCTTCTCAATTGCCATCTGAATGAAATCCTTATAAAGGACAATGAAATTGTGAAGCATACAGTACTGGTTAATGAAAAAATATTGATTATTCTGTGGAGGTTGTAAGGAATTGCAGGTTGTTAGTGGATGAGCCGACCGACCTGGTTGTAACTTGTAAGGCCTAGTATTTCTAGGTCATATGGTTTGTTAATGTGGTTGAGCCCACATCTGGCTTGTTGCTGGAAATTTTGCAGTACAGTCGTACATGAAATCTGGTTAGACCCCATCGCTCCACCCGCTCAAATCTGGGTGAGCCCCTCAGCAGTTGTGTGATTCACATGTTTTGCAGGCCCATGGGCCCATATTATCAAGAAATTGCGTGGAAACATGGGCTGACTATATAAGACATTTTGATAGGCCTGTACGTATTTGGGCCCCACCAGTTTCCCCAAATATTGTGGTGCCGGTGTACTCTAAGGCCTTGTGCGCAGAAAAGTTGCCCGGTTGTGCTTGTGGTCTGTGAGTGGAAAGAGAAAATTATGGCCAGGAAAATTGGGTTGAAGGTGGGCCCCTGTTGGACCAAACTAAAAAGTAAGAGCGACCAAAACGATATATATTGACTGTCTCTATAACATTCTATTTTCTCGAGAAAGTGACTGGTAACTGCATGCTTTTATGTCATGTTTTTTTCCCAAGAAAGAACTGACTTGAAGTATTTGTACAAAATACCGTCTCTACAACCTACCTTCTCATTGCATTTATACTGGACATTTTAATACATATATCTGTCCAAATTTCTTCTTCTTATTATTTTTTATATATTTTAAAAAAATCAATATCACTTAAACCAAGCACTGGTACAATTTATCTATTTTTTTTTATTTTGAACTCGTGACCTATAGGTCAAAATAACTTTTCCAAACTTATATATTTAATAATTACATAATTTAAATAAATATCGCATATGATTGTTTTTAATTTACACTCAAGAAAATCCCTCATTAACAATTTTTTTCCAAGAAAAAGCCTCTTATAAAAACTCAAGAAACACTGCTAACAAAATCTCATATTTATTATTGTATTACATAGTTTTCATTGGACGTGGATAGTCAACGTTATACATTATATATATATATATATATATATGTTGGATGTATAATTTAAATACTCGTGAATAGGGGAAGATCGTTAAAGTAACGCGTTATTTCAACGTTTTGAGGTACGCAATAAATCCTAATTCAATTTTTTGATTTCCCAAGAGAGATTACTTCTCACACTGACTTGTTCGTCGGAGTCTACTCCATCGGTAACACATCGGTATTTGTAGGATTATTTTTTCTTCTCTTTATTCAGAAAGTCAGATCAAATTCAAATTGCGTAGAATTCATCAACAATATATATATATATATATATATATATAAAGTTACACACGTATATTCGTGTCTGGATTCTTTATTAGAGAGTACATAATTGTACGCATTTTGCTTAAAGCATATAAAAGCAATCTTTATAGTGACGATAGTTGATAATATGGTTGTATTATGTTGGTAAAACAACTTTTTTAATTATTAAAAATAAAAATTTTAATGCTATATTGAAATGGGTAGGTTCTGAGTACATATCCTTGGTACTGTTTGCATCGATATGTCAAAAAGCTTTTCTATTTAACTACAATATCTATGCCATTAAAATTGCAGCCCCACAATAAAAGGAAGCCAAGTCATTTTAAATCATATTTTATACAACAATCGAATTGTCAATTTTGTACCTACTATTTTTGCCATCTTTTATTGCTTTACGTATTATGTATTAAAGTGCAATATGGAATAATGACACTACGCTAGTGTGACAATTCGTTCAATATCTCGCACTCCATATTCGTCGGCGTAGATTGTCATATTTAGTCTACAAAAAATAATTTTCTTCACTCGTCGACATCACATTCGTTCGCATAGATTGTCATATTTATTCTACTTAAAATAATTTTTATCCTATCATTCCGTATGCTCACCATGAAAAATGGTCACTGTGATACCCCCACCAATGTTCTCTAAGCCTCAGTCGCCATCGTTGCCATCGCTTTCGAAATCACTATTTGTTTATCTTCATGATTTTACAGTACTTTCATACCAAATGTTCCATTGTATGAAAAACACTTGAACGAGTTGATAGATTACTTTCAAAGAAATACAACTCAGATCCACCTTCACCCTTCTCATAAACCCAATTCATGTTCACATATTTGAATTCGAATTGTAAAAATCAATTTATGAAAGATTGTGTTGTAATTTATAACATCTACATTTGTCTTCTGTTTATATTTAGAGGGATAAAAAATTTATGCAAAAATGATAATTTATTCATCTTATTATCTTTATATTTATATATACACACAAACACATAATTCTCTCATTTCTACGGAAAAAATAAATAAATTTATTCTTTTTTATTTTCTTTCATCCCTCTTACTTTTTACGGAGCAAAACATAAAACTTTTTTTCAAATTTCGTCTAAATTAAATTTTAAACTCAAAGATTTAAATTCAATTTTAATCTGGAACATTAAATATCTTATCCTACTAGAAAAACTTTATTGCACTGGTTGTATCACTAATGTGGTATCATAAACTAATTAAATATTGACATGTAGTGATATGATTCAATAAAATATACTATGTAGTAGTTTTACTTATACTTATCTAATATAATATAATTAGTTTTTTTTTTTTTTTTAACAACTGTATAATATAATTCATTGATATTACAATAATTATTATTCTTCTGTCTCAAAATAAGTGTCACATATATATTTTTTTTATCTGTCCCAAAATAATAATTTACTCTTTTTTTTAAATAATAAATTTTACATCATTTTATATATGTTGTTCCGGTTTAAAATTTTAAATTTAAATATTCAAAATTTTAAAAAATAAATTAATAATTTTGTAGACAGATGCTAATAAACGTCCCACACGCCTCTCTTTAAAAATTATTACTTTCCATGCAACACTTAAATTGAGACCGGAAATAATAACGTGTTAAAGGTTAGAAAAGTCTCCCTCTTTGTCCACACATATAAAATTCTTGGATTGGGAGTGACACTTGATTGCCGGGGTTTTGAATTCTTAAAACATAAAGTAGATGGAGGCGGCCCGACATCACGTGCTGCTTACCACTTTTATGTATTATATATATATATATAAAATATTACGTATCACAGTGTAGTTTAGTTACCACAATAATCTTGACCCTCCAATTAGTGGGCCCCAATGATAATCATAGGCAATGAATTAATCAAGGCACTTGATTTCTTTGCTTGACTTATCCGACGGTCCAAATGATTTCTCTCCTTATCTTTTCCTTTTTTTTTTTTTTTTTGACACTAAATGATTTATCTACTGTACTATATATACTGTATATAAACAACTATTATATGTTTATTTATTTATTTATTTATTTTTTATGCTTTCAATCCTCCCACTTTATTAAAACAGTGGCCCTACTTTCAACTTCCTATTCTCGTTTTATATTCCATGGATTTTAGGCGTTATGTCATTTTATTATAAGATGAATCATATTTGGTAAAAAAAATTTATTTTAAAAAATTTAAATTTTTGCTTTAGTTTATCCGTTACAATATTAAAACACATCATATTTGACATCACACCAATTATATGAGTTTGAACCAAAAAATCTGATATATTAAAAAAAAATTTAAAATTAATATTAATCGTTTCAAACATAATTTGAATTTAAATTTAAATATCAATATTATAAAAATAATATTTTTTATGTACGTCAAACGGGCCTTAAGAAATTACTAAAATAATGTATGTACTTTTATTTCAGTTTGTTAATTTTCCTGTTGCCTTCTTGAATTTCATTAGATGACTGATATATTATATGAATAATGATAAAGAGTTCCGATTCTTTGATTATTTTATTTAAAATGGATTCAGTATTATAAAATTATTAAATATAATAATAGGTAAATATAATCAGATGTGTCTGTAATATGAATGCGCTAACCGTATCTCGTGCCATTAGAAAATTGAGAAATTAACTGCATGTCAAAAGGCACAATGATATGACAAGTATGAAAGAGACTTTGTGATGATAAACCTTAAATTAAATCAGCACGGACAGATGATTTGGCCAGTGGAAAGTTTTACCAGGAGGAAGATTTTTAATTTGTGAAGGAAAACTTCTATAGTGAATTTATGTTTATAATTTTAATTGAATTTTTTTACTAATTTTTAAAAATATAAAATGCCCAAAAAAAAAATCAATGGGGCCGAATTGTAATTTTAGTGAGAGAGATTTCATAAAATCTTAAAAATTTAAAGTATAAAATGCAAAAATATAAATATAAATAAAAAATTCAATGGAACAAATTATAATTTTAGTGAGGGTATTTTAATAAATTTTAAAAAAATAAAAATAAAATAACAATATAAAAATTTTAGTGGGGCGGATGGGGATGGATATAAAAGCGTGTTGCTCACATAATACAGGGAGTTCTTCGTCATGTCGTGTGAGGCTTTCCATTGAAAGTTCAAAGCTACTCTGTAACAAATAAAAAGTACATTTTTTTATTGTAATTAAATTATGTAGAGGTTAGATATGTTCACCTGAACAAGTTTGTTCCATTTGGAGAGCAAATTCCCCACTTTTATCTTTGAAATAAAATGTTAGGGTAAAGTGCATTAAACTCCCCTGAATTATTAAGGTATGTGCAAAAAATTTTCCTGAATTATAAAAATTGTAAAAAAATCCCTGAACTATTGGGGTATGTGCAAGAAACCCCCTGAACTATAAAAATTGCAAAAAACCCTCCTGAACTATTGGGGTATATACAAAAAACCCCCTGAATTATATATTTTTTTGCAGTTTACCCCATCCACGCGAATTGATTGACTGAAAGGGACGATGAAGTCGAGGAATTTGTTATTGGGATCGGTGGGTCTCCTGTCATAGCTCGATCATAGCCGTTGCACCACTAGCCAGATCCGTCGGCTATATATATCGCACTTCTCTGCACCGTTGCGTCAGCCCATCGCCGTCACTGCCTTACCCGCCGTTCAGCTCACCTTGCTCGCCGGTCCATTCCACCGTCCATTCCAATCTCGCCGGTCCATTCCGCCATCTCCATAGCCGAGCATATCGCCGTCCGTGTTTCGAGCACATAGCCGTCCACAGTTCACCGCCGAGCCCCCTTGAACTCGCCGTCGCCTCCACAGTTCACGGCCAAGTCAACTGAGCTCTCATCACAGCCGAGTCCTCCGCGCACAAGCCGCCATCATCCGAGACCGAGCCATCCCGCCGACCTCGGATTTCTTTGGTCTCTTCTCTCTCTCTCTAGCTCTCAGTTTTGGGTTGTGTTGGGTGAAAGGCATCTTTTGGCAGAAAAAAAAAGTAAGAAGTGTATAAGTTAAAACGACGCAGTGTACGTGTTATAAGGGTAAACTGGTCTTTTAAAATTTTCGGTATCGGAAGTTGATGTCATAGGGGTAAATTGCAACAAAATCATAGTTTAGGGGAGTAAATTACAACAAAATCATAGTTCAGGGGGGTAAATTGAAACAAAATCATAGTTCAGGGGGGGTTTTTTTGTAGTTTAGGGGGGTTTCTTGCAAATGATCAATAGTTCAAGGGGGTAAATTGTAACAAAATCATAGTTCAGGGGATTTTTTTGTAGTTCAGGGGGGTTTAATGAACTTTACCCTAAAATGTTATATTAAATTATCAATAACTTGGTACTCATATTTTGGTGAGGGTTTGAATTTTGCAAGAAATAAATAGGTATGTATTTGAAAAAAAAAAAGGGTTGAGTCGAATAGTCTTGGAATATTTTCGGAGAATTATAGGCTATGAAGTATAAGTAATATATCCGTACTACGTGTCTGATACTTTCTAAATATATTCATAATTTTAAAATATATTTTTATTTTTAACACGTATATGATACTTTTTGAATATTTCGATCATTTATATTGTACTTGTCAAATGCTTCAGAGTTCATTTTTAACAAGTTCTCAAGATTAAAATGTAACTTTTCTTACCATATTATTGTATTATGGTTGTTTAGAAAAGTTTAAAATTTACTTAGAAAATAATATTGATATATATACACACTTATTTAGAACACGTTAATGGCTGAATTTAGATTCATAATTTTATACAAAATTGATCAAAATTTAAATTTTTTAAAAATATATATAAATTATTTATTATTGTATCCTATTGTACTCATATCAATTTTTTTAATAGAATTTTTCCTATCACAGTATTCGTACTTGTATCTAGTATTTGTTTCCGTGCATCCACAATTATAAAGTGTTTATTGGAAAAGTAAAAATAAAAAATGAGTAAGCTAGCTGGGGACACGATTGTCATTTTTCCTTTCTAAATTTTAAGGTTCACTTCTCTCTCTCCGCCCCCATCTGAAAACGACTGCAAGCAACCTGTGGTCTACCCGTATATATCCCTTGCATATATATATATATATATATATATATATATAGTGGATGTATATATACACCGACTCAAACCATCAGTTCTCTTTTTCTTTATAAGTTTCTCTGATCTCGTAGTTATCCCTTCTTGACTCTCTCTTTAATTTGTTCAATTGAAGCTTCAAAAATGGGAGATCTTCAGACTGTGTGTTGTATGTGTGGCGACGTTGGTTTCCCCGACAAGCTCTTCCGCTGCAGCAAGTGCCAGAACCGCTTTCAACACTCGTATGCGCCACATCATCTTTATCACCATCAACACCCATTCACACACATATATATAGATAGACTTGCATATATAAACATATATATATATATATATATATATATATATCATTATATCTCATGATCATCGTTGTTGATGCATACCCATCACATGAACCATTTTTCACATCATAGGCCATAAAACATAGATATATATCATGCACCCACTACCATATATCACTAAGGTACAAGGGAACATACTAGGCTGTCTAGTACAACCAAACCATCACCGTGTTAACAATAATATGATTACTAATTGCTATGATATGTAGTCCATCGATCTTTTATTATATCGTGACTTTAACATCCATATGTTTTTATTGTTATATATTCAATTGAATTTATCCATAAAATACTCTTCATGAATTTATTTAGGTATTGCAGCAACTATTACAGTGAATCATCGCAGCCAATTGAATTATGTGATTGGTGTCAAAGCGAAGAAAAGAGTTCACGACATGGTGTATTTTGGAAAAAATCATCAACTGGAGGAGTGACTAGTCGATCAGAGTATTCCGGCGATAAAGTAAAGCAACATGATAATCGCGAAGAGAGCGCGGAAAAAGGAAAGAGTCCAATCACTACGCCATCTCCATCTCCACGGCCCAGTACACGTAGGTACAAGCTTCTCAAGGATGTAATGAGTTGAGTGTAAAACGATTGTTCGTGTTAAATTGGTTTCGTTTGGGCAATAGTTTTCAGTAAGTAGTTGTGAAAGATTAGTTAATAATGGAACCATATATATGTATATAGTTATATTTATAATCTGATTGGTATATGAGTTTTGATTTAAATCTCTTTGTTCCAATAGCACTAGTAATTTTATGTTGTTTTCTCGTCATTAATATAAATTAATCAAATGAAACCTAACCAAGTTATTAACATTATGTGTATATAGTATGATAAGAGAATAGTTTGCCAATGTCTGAGTTTTTATAGGCAACTTTTACCTCATTTGCTTCTCCAAATTATTGTAGAGTTACATTTAAAAAAAATATATAGTTTTTCTTTTCTAGATATCTTAAAAATATCTTAGATATTTATACACATAAAAATTTATCTAGATTTTATTAATAAGTATATAGTATGTCATGTTTCTTCTCTCTAGTGAATTCTAAAATAGTATCTTTAACATAAAGATTAACAAAATTAGTCAAACTTTTTATATTTTTATATCAAATAATAGGGTTTCTTGTGCTTCATGGGAGTTGCATCCTCACTTCATTGTTGAATCCACTTTAAAATAATTCAATGCATTTGGAGGCCTTTTTACAAATCAATATATATAAGAATTCATAGTAGATAGGCTTCCATTTTTTTTTTTTCTTCAGATGCATTGAAAGTATTTATGAGACCCTATATATTATTGGTTTTTCTTTGGTTTTTTCGGTAGAACAGGTGGATAAATCAACTTAGGCTGCTTTGGAAATTGGGTTTCAATTTCTTATCAAATAATTTATTTGAGGGATGAAACGAAGTATATACTCCTGTGTAAGCTTAGTATAAACAAGTGTTAAGTTCATTAAATAAGATAGTAGATAGAAATGAAAGACTCTGTTGTTGCTTCTAGGCCATTCATTTAAATCATAATTAATTTTTGTTTTCTTACATGCTCTGTACAATTGACCCATGGTTGCGTAAAATATCTTTACCACACAAGTTGACAAGTTCACTGTATCTGTTTTGGCCATTTATTATAAACCAACGAAAGCTCTTCATATTGGGATCTTCAAGTGACAGTGAAGCCCACAACTTTTATCCATGTACCATTTAATTATTTATTTTATAAGTTGATTGTACAAAAAAAAAAATTGTTCAATCTACTCTGTCTCTCTCTCCATCATGTGAACCTGATTTGAAGTTGAAGAAAACTCACTATAAATAAAACATTATGACCCAATAGAAGCAGTTTCCATCCGTCACACTTTCCTTTTTTACCAAACAATCATCAATAGGGTCACATGGTACGTTGCCTGGCTGCACTCCCTTCCACCTTTTAACTTTCAAGCAAACCATAAATTTAGGAACAAACAAAGATTAACAAGCAGTATTAATATTAAATAGGGATAATTTCATAAAAATAGAATTTTAGAGGTCAAAAGATAAAAGAATAGAGTCAAAATTAAAATTTTTAAATTAATGAAATTTTATAAAAGTCTGATGTGGACATAAAAATTTATTATATATCATCTTTTTATTCCCATAACACCTTTCTCTCATATATAGAGAGAGAAATCTATCTATGGCAACCCTTTTCCCAAACGAACAACCAACAATCTTATCTCCCATCACTCTTTTTCACCCACCTTACCAACAAATCCATTTATAAAAAAAAAAAACTAATGCAAATCTTTGTTCTCCCCTCTCACGTTCCCACCAAAATATCTTTTCCTCCAAACCCGATTTAAACCCAAAATCCATATCATACAAAAGAAAAATCAAGATCCAAACTAAGATTAAAAAACCCAACACGAAACATCATGAAAAAACCAACACAATCCTCTGTAATGGTCGATCCACGGCTTGACAATACAAAAGGTTGATGCAAATGCTTGTGGATCCATAAGAAATCTTCAAGTGGGTCTATGAAATCTAAGTCACACCATAAAAATTAGAATATTCACAAATGAGAACTAGGCCTTTCTCCATTTTTCTAGAAGGTTTACAGTATTAAAGTAACAAATATCTAACTTTTTTTAAAAAAATAATTATAATAATAACAAATTTCTCTTAATTTCTAAGGTTTGGCTGGACTTGGCGACGTCGGTGATTTTGATAGTGTGTTTTGGGAGTTTAAGGAAGGAGGAGCTGCCCGAGAAGGAAAGTTTGAGAGGATTGGCATAGATGGGTTTCTCTCTCTAGATATGAGAGGGGTAATAACATAATTTCATAACAACTATAGAAGGGTATTTTGGAAATAAAAAGATAATGTATAGTAATTTTCCATGTCCACATCAGATTTTCATAAAATTCCATTAATTTAAAAAATTTGATTTTGACTTGATTCTTTTGTCTTTGATCTTCAAAACTCCATTTTTATAGAATTATCCCTATTAAATATTGGGTTAAAATCATAAAATTTTCAATACTTTAAATTAAATTTTGGTCATAAAACTTCAATCAGTTTCAGAAAATTCGTACACTTTTAAAAAGTGATCACATTGTCCCAATATTCATATTTGACCCCTTAACTGGATTATAAAATGATAAATTTACCCTTATTATTTAATGTTAAATTAAATATTAAGGATAATTTAGGCAAATAAACAATATTTTTCTATTTCCATGTCAACATTTTGGTTAATTTTTTTTTTCTTTTTCAAAACATTAATATTTTGACTTCATTAAATAATAAATATGTGTTCATAACGCCACGTATTCGTAATAATTCTTTTTTATTTATTTAAATTTTAATATGTATATATCTTGACGTTATTCTACATTGCCTCCACTAAATTAAATTCCTAACTATGCAACTTGTAATTGTTCAATACAAATAAGGGGTGATTACATGCTTTCAAGTAGGATTAGTTGCATCATGCATGTTCAACAAGTTCTAGGAATATTTAATTAGAATACGATGTTCTTACTTGATTATTTACTGCATTATAAGCATTTACTCTAAAACTTGAGTTAGGCTACCTCCGGCACGGTTGAGAGAGTTTTGTGAGTTGTACTATTCAAAATGGATGTAAAAGTGTGATACCCCCGAATTTCCGAATGCGGGTTGGCCAGGCTCACGCCCGAATATCCAAGGATATCAAAATAAATTGATAATAAACGAACACAGAATACAAAAGAATAAAGAAGAATAAATAAAATGTTGACAAGAAACTAAAATGATAATCTAATAATAAACCTCATAATATATTTCCATTAATTAATAAACTCTTCTGATACAACTGATCCTCCAAAATACAACTCGGGAATCCATACTGTGTGGACCCCTAGAAAATCCAAACTAAACAAATGACAGTAATCTAAAACAGGAAACTGAATCATAAAGGAACTCCTATGTAGCATCGGAAGAATGAAGTAGACTGATCTCCGCTCAGCACGAACAACCTCTACTCGTGACGAACACCTGAAAAATAATGGTGGGTCAGGCCCACAAACAAGTTCTACTCTACTACAGTCCAAGCAGAGATCCGATACACGTATAAATCTTAGTCAATCCAACAGTAATTAGTAGTCTGTATATATATATATACACAATAAAGGAACCTCACTAGACTATAGGGTTGTCTCAACCTGAATAGTAGGCAACATGCAAAACGCACATATAGTGGGCATGAGTACCTAGACCTACCAGGGTACACAACTACACTATATCTAGCTACACATCCCTGGCAATATACGCGCCCTAACCATTAATCCTAAGACTCAAACTCATATCATGGCACCATATTTATATATATATAATCTAGTAACCATCCTATTCGGTATAAATTAATCATCCATAAGTCATTCAACTTATTCAGCTGACCTAACTTGAATATAAGTATGACTTAACATTTTAGTTAATCCATTCCCTTATATAATAAATTAATTCTCCATAAGTAATTCAACTTGTTCAGCTGACCTGACTTGAATATAAGTAGGACTTAACATTTTAGTTAATCCATTCCCTTATATAATAAATTAATCCTCCATAAGTCATTCAACTTGTTCAGCTGACCTGACTTGAATATAAGTAGGACTTAACATTTTAGTTAATCCATTTCCTTATATAATAAATTAATCCTCCATAAGTCATTCAACTTGTTCAGCTGACCTGACTTGAATATAAGTAGGACTTAACATTTTAGTTAATTCATTCCCTTATATAAAATAGGTAGGACTTAACTGATAAGTTAATCCATCCCTAGAATGCCACCGTTCCATACCGGTGCATTAAATCACACAATCCAACAATTGATGTAACGATTAAGGAAATACATCAAACATTCCATAAATAACTATGATAAATATGATATCAAGTTATCACATAATAGGATTGACTTATTATTTATTTAAACTTCCTATATCATATGTCCTACACAAACTGAATCTTATACATGATGATATTTTATTATACCGTTAAATAAGGATTCTCTATATCCAATTCATCCTACACATTTAATCTCAATTGCTAAAACATTTTAAAAGATTAAATCCATTCGTTTGTTTAAAACATTCAAATAGCAAGCATCATTATGATTGAGTCTATTTAAATTTATTAAAACCCAAACCTAGTCCCTATTTAATGTTTAGGAATCTTAGGCATGTTTCTACGTTCCATTATTCCACAGATATGAAAAATACATAATTTAAACATGTAAAAATTCACATAAGAAATCAAATTAAAATCATGCATTTTATCAATTCATAACACAAGAACAGATATGAACCAATTTCATAAAACCTATGTTCTAACCCAATTAAACATGCATAATTATTTAATTTTATGTGTTTAATAAATCCTGGAATTTCCTAGACATGTACAGAAATACGAATCAAAGGGAAAGAGATAGAAGAAGAACTTGCCTTAAACTTTCGGATCGAAAGTTAAATTTCTTCTTCATTGATCTTCTCTCTATAGGATTTTTCTCCTCATTCCTTCCTTTTCCTCCTTCTCTCTCTAACACTATCTCTCCACTATATATCACGTGAATATTTCTAACCCCCTTTTACAACCTATAGCTATATATTTATAAACTAAATAAAATAACCCTAACCATTTTCCCAATTTAAGTCAACTAAAAAAAAATGAAAATAAAAATATTAAAAAGGTAAGCAAAATATGTTACGTATATAATTTATGTATATGTTTATTAAATAAATAAATTATACACATT